TTGAAGTCTTACCGTTGCATTAAAATACTGAACAGCTGACCGTTTTATTCACTGATTAATTAAAAAACTGCGGAGGTGTTGAAAGGCGACCATCCCGGGCGCGAGGCATTTGCCCTCTTTCTTCGCCCCCACCCTGGGGCATTTAGACAGCTTATGTGTCCCCACCCCGGGAAATTTTCCCATTTTTTAAAAAAGAAATGCTAATGCCCGGGGGTTAGCCCGGGGGAGGGGATGGGCGCTGCTGGAATTGACCGATGCATTATACTAAAACAATTAGATTATTCGCTCTCGATTTCTATGCGCGATAGTTGACTCGGGCTGCGCCCTCGTAAACTATCACACGATAGAAATCTCGAGCTCATAATTTAATTGCTTAATAGAAACACGATTTTTAACCAATCAGCAAGGGGATTTTCTTAGGGCTGTTTTCTAAATATATATATAGTATATGTGCAGTAAGGTCAAGTTGCGCGTTTAAAACAACCCAGACCAGAAAAAAAAAAACTTCTGATATGTGTGAGATAATTACAAAAGTTGAACTGCGCATGAAATGTGAAATGAAGAAATGATCCTGGCAATAGATTACCATTTAACAACTCTAGTTTCTTTCATTTTTTGCTCAAATGTAGCTATTGTGTGGAAAGAAAGCTGATGTAGGTTGTTTTCGCCAGAAGTCCTTTCATGACAGAACTCTAAAAGATGGCCAAGACATTGCCTCTAATGGCCTTAAGAAAGGGAGAGTGTATGTCACTTTTTAGCGCGGGGACGTAAATGCAGACATTCAGTACATTCTCCGGTTCTATTGATCATTTCTTTTGTCTTCTAACGAGACGTTGTTTTGGGAAACGAAATTCTGAAACGGGTGTCTGCTACCTCTTGCCAAGTTGGCCAATAACAGGAGTTTTATTAATTAAGGGAATCATCGGAGAGGGTAAGGAGACAAACATTTCGGGAAAAGTGTAGCTACCTTGTCTTATCGATGTTTGTATCTGCTCCTCGTTCAATGCGACATTGTAAACCTTCATTTCCGCGATTTTCCCTTTGAAATTCTTATTGTTGACACTTCTAGTCCCCATTCGAACC